CAGCCCCCCCCCTGCACTTTGAGACACTACAGATCGCAAGGGATGCTGTCGTTTCCATGGAAACTATGGAGCAGAGGTGGGGGACCGAAGGCTCCGGCCCCCGTCTTGCCCGGATCCAGCCTCTGAGGCTCGGGGCCTCTCCCTTCTGCCACCCCCTTAACCCATTCCCAGAGGCCGCCTCCCACACATTGAACCCCTCATTTTGACCCCACCCCAGAGCCGAGGAGGGCCCACAAGATCTCCTATCCACCTCCCCTCCCCCCAAGGGTCTGGTGCGTGAGGGAAATGTGGGGAGTGTCAGTGGGTTCGGGGGTTTTTTGCTTCTCAGTTGCGTGGCCCTCGACTCAAAAAAGGTTCCCCACCCTTCATCTAGGCGGTGCCTGGTCCTGCCGGGAGGGCAGGGGACTGGACTCGATATCTCGAGGTCCCTTCCAGTCCTAGAGTTCTATGATCATCAGGGAAGGGCCCATATATCGCTGCTGCCTCTGTTACCAGAGTGCACTCTACAAGGCGGGCATTTCGAGAGGCCCTGAAAATTTGGGCTGCATCCTGCCGCCGGGATAGGATTCTTGTCACAGACTTCGACTGAGCGAGGGCGCCAACCTTCCTCAGCTGCGAGTGCCCTACGATGTTCTGCAAAGCGATAATTATCAGGGGGCGTTCACAGCGCCCCCTTCGCAGGCACCCAGGGCCGGATTAACTCTTCTGGGGGCCCAGGGCTATTCATTCTGGGGGGGACCCCTAGGCTGCTGGGCGGGGCAGTGCGACAAGGCGGATCCAGCCACAGGAAGTTGTGCTCCCAGGTCTGAGAGCCTCTGGCTTGCTGGAAGCTGTGCGGTGTGGAGTGTTCTCATTGCAACAGGACCCCGGCTCTAAGCCCGTCTGCAAGGCAGTCATCAGCTCATGAGCACAGGGCGGCCTGGCTTCTGGAGAGAGGGGGGCCCTGGGCCTGCTGGAGTCAGTGAGGCCCAGGCCAGCCCTGCCTCAGATGCTAGGACGGGTCTGCTTCATAGCGGTTGCCATTTGCTTCCCGACCCCTGCCAGGAATCCCCTTAGAGACCATGTGCCCCCCACACTTAGCATCCTCCTCCCGGGAGCCGGCCTCCTTCCAGACACAGGGAAGACCCCAAAGGGCAAGTGGTAGTGAGACAATACAGCGGCTCTGTAGAGACAGTGTGGCCTAGCAGCTAGAGCACTAATATCTCACACAGATAACCTAGGTTCTAATCCCAGCTCTGCCTCTTGCCTGCAGAGTGATTTGGGGGCAAGTCACTTCACTGCTCCTTGCCTCGGTTTCCCCATCAGGTCACTCAAGTATTGTATGTCAAGTACTTTAAGCTCTGCCGATGCAAAGCGCTAGCTAAGGAATAGTGCACTGCTCCTTCCTTCCCCAGGGTAGCCACACCAAGCTCTCAGCTAGGAACAGGGCAAAATCAAGGTCAGTCTGAGTTTGGCTTTTGACCCTGAGAAGTACCCAAGCACGGTTTGACCCCCCAAGCACAGTTTGACCCAGGCCTCCTTCCACCCAAGTGCTCAGGAACTGCACACGCTGGGACGGCTGCATCAAAGCCAGGCCAGGAGATGTTGCCCCACACATGCACCCCCCCCCATTTAACCAACCGGAGCCCAGGCTGATTCAGGTCTGGGTCCCACGTTACAGGGCTCCTCGACGACCGACAAGGGTTCGTTTTGCAGAGGCGGACCCCGACCTGGGCGTGGTTGTTGGTCATGAGGACAATGTCGAAGAGCTCTTCGCTGTCGGGGTAGAGCTCGCGCAACTGAGCGTTGACGGCTTCCAGGGCCTACGAGACGAAGGGAAGAGGAGAGGTCACCTGCCACCAGCGCACGCCCATGCGCCTTGGAGCTGAACTTCCGGAAGAGAAGTGGAAGGGGACCAGCGGAAACCGGATGCCCACCCATTGACGGGGGTCTGCTTATAGTCACCGTGCGCCCCCCGTGCCCTGCTAATACCTCTGGGGCTATGATCAGGGGCACTGAAAGTTGGGAGAAACCCAGCTAGGTCTGCCCCTCACACCGAGTTAAAAATGGGAGGGGTCTCCTGAATACTGAGATTTTAAAAGAAATTTGACATCACTAGCTACTCCTGTGCCTGCCCCCTCTTGCCCATCGTCTGCCCATCCACCCACCCACCCTACAAATGCGCATCCCCATGATGGGAGGGGTCTCCTGAATACTGAGATTTTAAAAGAAATTTGACATCACTAGCTACTCCTGTGCCTGCCCCCTCTTGCCCATCGTCTGCCCATCCGTCCACCCACCCTACCCACCCACTCCTCTCTACTCA